CTTTTGCTCAGTGCTGCTCCCTTGGCTGTGATGCCCTTCCTTGCTTCTTTACTTCCCCACTTTTCCCAAACCAAATGCCATTTCCTCCATGGGGACTTTCCAAATGCTCTATACACCATGATCACGTGTAATTGATTCCTGGGATGCCAGGCTAGCTCAGCACCCGCAAATCAGTAGCTATGACATGCCACATTAACAAAAAGAGTAAAAATCGTATGATCATCTCAACAGACGCAGAAGAAGCATTTGACAAAATTCAGCATCTTTTCATGATAAACGCTCTCAACAAATCGGGTATAGAAAGAATGTACCTCATAATAAAAGCCGTATATGACAAGGGCATAGCTAACATCACACACCACAGCGTAAGGCTGAAAGCTTTAGCTCTAAGATCAGGAGCAAGACAGGAATGCCCACCGTCACCATTTCTTCCACCATGATACTGGAAGTCTTAGCCAGAATAATTAGGCAAGAAAAAAAAAATAGTAAAAGGCAGGGCGCCTGGGTGGCTCAGTCATTAAGCGTCTGCCTTCGTCTCAGGTCATGATCCCAGTGTCCTGGGATCGAGCCCCGCATCCAGCTCTTTGGGCAGAAAAGCCTGCTTCTCCCTCTCCCACTCCCCACTGCTTGTGTTCCCTCTCTCGCTGTCTCTCTCTCTGTCAAATAAATAAAAATAAAATCTTTAAAAAAAAATAGTAAAAGGCATCCAAATCAGAAAGGAAGAAGTAAAATTGTCTCTGTTTACAGGTGGCATGACCTTGCATATAGAAAACCCTAAATATTTCACCCAAAAATTGTTAGAACCAATAAATTTGGTAAAGTTGCAGGATACAAAATCAACATACAAACATCAGTTCTGTTTCTATGCAGTAACAATATATATACAAAAAAGAAATTAGTAAGACAATCCCACTCACAATAGCATCAGAATGGGTGAAATAGGCAATGGGTATTAAGGAGGGCACTTGTGATGAGCATTGGGTGTTATATGCAAGAGATGAATCACTAAATTCTACAACTGAAACTAATATTACACTGTATGTTAACTAACTGGAATTTATTTTTTTCAAGATTTTATTTGTTTATTTGAGAGAACGAGAGCATGAATGGGAGGGACAGAGAGAGGAGAGAGAGAGAATCTCAAGAGACTCCATGCTGAGCATGGACACAAATGCGGGGCTCAAGCCCAGGACCATGAGATCATGACCTGAGCTAAAACCAAGAGTTGGAGGCTTAACCAACTGTACCACCCAGGCACCCCACTAACCGGAATTTAAATAAAAACTTGGAAAGGAAAAAAAATTTAATAAAATACTGACAAATAAATTTAACCAAGGAGACGAAAGACTGGGACACTAAAACTATAAGACATTGATGAAAGAAATTAAAGAAGACACAAATAAACAGAAAGATATCCTGTGTTCATAGATAGGAAGAATTAATATTTTTAAAATATACATACTACTCAAAGCAATGTACAGATTCAATGCAATCCCTATTAAATTTCCAATGGCATTTTTCAAAGATAATAGAAAAAATAATAATCCTAAAATTTGTATGGAACCACAAAAGATTCTGAATAGCTAAAGCAATCTTGAGCAAGGAGAACAAAGCTAGTAGCATCTAACTTCCTGACTTCAAATTATATTACAAAGCTGTAGTAACCAAAACAGTATGGTGCTTGCATAAAAACAGACACATAGACCAATGGAAAAGAATATAGGGCTCAGAAATAAACTTATGCATATACAGTCAAATAATTTTCAACAAAGGCGCCAAGAATACACAATGGGGAAAGATAGTCTTTTCAAAGAAATGGTGCTGGGAAAACTGGATATTCACAGACAAAAGAATGAAATTGTACACTTATCTCCTAGCAAACACAAAAATCAACTCAAAAGGGATTAAAGATTTAACTGTAAGACCTGAAACGGTAAAACACCTGGAAGAAAACATAAGAAAAAAGCTCCCTGACATTGGTCTTGGTGATGTTTTTTTGGATATGACACCAAAAACAAAAATAAACAGGTGGGGTTATGTCAAATTAAAAACCTTCCGCACAGTAAAGGAAACATCAACAAAACGAAAAGGCAACCTGTGGAATAGGAAAAAATATTTGTAAACCACATATCTAATAAGGGGTTAATGTCCAAAATATATAGGAATCCATACAACTCAATAGCCAAAAAGAAATAACCCAATTTTAAAAAATGGGCAAAGGACCCAAATAGATATTTTTTCAGAAGGATATACAGATGGTCAATAGGTACATGAAAAAGTGCTCAACATCATTAATTATTAGAGAAATGCAAATCAAAACCACAAAGAAACATCACTTCACACCTGTTAGGACGTCTATTATCAAAAAGACAAAAGATACCAAGCATTAGCAAGGATGGGAAGAAACTGGACGATGGCATGGAACGTAGCTAGCTTCCTTCAACCACTACGGATTTGTTTGTTTGTTTGTTTTGGCTTTGTTTTGTGGGGTTTTTTTGTTTGTTTTTTTAAATTAACATATAATGTATTATTTGTTTCAGGGGTACAGGTCTGTGATTCATCAGTCTTGCACAATTCACAGCACTCACCATAGCACATACCCTCCCCAGTGTCCATCACCCAGCCACCCCGTTCCTCCCACCCCCTCCCCTCCAGCAACCCTCAGTTTGTTTCCTGAGATTAAGAGTCTCTTATGGCTTGTCTCCCTCTCTGGTTTCATCTTGTTTTATTTTTTCCTCCCTTCCCCTGTGATCCTCTGTCTTGTTTCTCACATTCCTCATACCACTGAGATCATATGGTACTTGTCTTTCTCTGATTGACTTTTTTCGCTTAGCATCATACTCTCTAGTTCCATCCATGTCATAGCAAATGGCAAGATTTTGGGGTTTTTTTGATGGCTGCATAATATTCCATTGTGTGTGTATACATATATATACATATATATATATACCACATCTTCTTTATCCATTCATCTGTTGATGGACATCTTGGCTCTTTCTACACTTTGGCTATTGTGGACATTGCTGCTATAAACATTGGGGTGCACGTGCCCCTTCGGATCACTACATTTGTATCTTTGGAGTAAATATCCGGTCACTACTACGTTTTTTTGAGCTTGCATTAATGTTTTAAGAGGTGCCAGGGGTACATTTTGCACTGAAATCTAAAGATTTCACTTAAATCTTCACTTAAGAAAACACTTCACAAAAATAGTCTTTGTCACTGCATTATTTACTCATGTGTTTGTACATTTCTGCTAATTTATGAATGATTTTTTTCAGTAAAAACACACATATTCAAGAACCACCAAAAAAAACCCCATATCTTCACAGCAACATTATTCATAATAGCCCAAAAGTAGAAACAACCCAAAGGTCCATCAACTAATGAATGGATAAACATCATGTATAATTCTATTTATAAGAAATATCCATAATGGGCAAATTCATAGGGACAGAAATTAGATTAGTGGTTTCCAGAGGTGTGGCAGGAGAAGGAAAAACGAATGGGGACAGAGTTTCTCTTTGTGGTATGGAGATCTCTGGAAGTAATAGTGGTGGTGGTTTGCACAAGGCGGTGAGTATCCTAAAAGCCACTAAACTGTACTCTTTAAAAGGATGAATTTTATGTTATGTGAATTGTATTTCAATTCTTTTTTTCTAATCTATTGAATGAATCTGGCATGTGGTTGAAAAGGCTGCGGACCAGAGGGCTGGCGAGTAGCAGTCATGCGGCATCTGTGCTCCCCCTGTCGTGGCCCTGGCCCCAGTCATCTCTCGGGGGTACCACTGCAACAGCCTCCTCCTCTCTCTCACCCCCAAACCCACATTTACAAGTGTCGCACTGCCCACCTGCAGGAACCACGCCTTTTTATTTTCTCCATGTTTTGACTTCTGGGACCTTGTTGAGCCGAGAGAGACTGGCCCTCCCAGGGATGGCCAATTCCTAAAGATACTAAAGGACTCACCCGCAAGTGTGCCTTTCGTTTGCAAACCAGCCAATCCAAAATACTCCGATCACTTCCTCTATCTAGTTCTGACTGTCCACCTGCCCTCCTCACCCCAGGGCCAGGCGTCAGACAACTAGAGAGCCCCTGTGCCCCAGAGCCTGCGGACTTTATTCAAACCAGCCGATCCTACCCCTGCGCTCCCTGTCTGGCCTTACCTTCCCCCGGGGAAACCACAATGCCAGCACTGTGCCCTGGCTCCCTCCGCCCCCTGACGGGCCCTGGTGCTCCTGTAGCCCCACCTGGCGTGTCCTGCTCCCTGTGAGTAAAAACTTCTTGGGGCAACGTCATTTCCACATTATCCATATGATCCAAGTGTTACCGCACCTGATTCAAACGAAGCCCGAGCACATACTGAAACACCACCCTTCAAATCTGCTTCCGCCTCCCCTCTCCCCACCCCAAAACTTTTCTCCACCCGACACTCTTCCAAGCTTTGTAGCCTCTGTAGCCCGCCCCATACATCTCCACCTTCCTACGCACATCCCATTCCCATCACCATGCCCTTACGTATGCTGGGGCCTCCGTCTTGGGCACCCTCTCCCTCACCCGCCTCTTCGCCTCCGTTGTTCCTGTGCGCGCATCAAGCTTCGCTTCGTCATGCTGCCTCCGGAAGCCCACCGGGATAGCCACTCTGTACTCCAACAGGAGTGGTACTCTCTCCCTCAGAGCCGGGAGCCTGCGTGTCTGTCTGCCGCCCGCCCGGGAGTTCCTCCAAGATAAGCACGGTGATCCCTCAATTCTGGGTGCCCAGAGCTTAGCGCAGAGCCAGTAAAGTACTGGTAACGCAATCAGTATTTTTTAGTGTAAGAAATCTCCTTCATAGGCATATAAATAAGCTCTCGGCGGGCGGAGCCCTCACCCTCTGGGTCCTTAGCAGGGCCGCGTGCAGGGTGGGTCCTGGGTAAGCCCTGGGGCCGAAAGCGTGAACGGAAGGATGACGGAGCAGACAAGCGGGGCGGGGGGGGGGGGGGCCGCAGGCTGGTCTACTCACGCTGTTCCTCCCACTCGCGCTCCTCGTTCTCGCGGGCGTGGCTCTGCAGCTGGGCCTGCTTCAGGGTCCAGTAGAGTTCCTTGGCCCTCTGCTCTTCCCGGAGGCGAATCTGCTCCTCTCCTCGCTTCCTCTCCTCTTCCTCTTTCCTCTAAAATATCATGGGGACAGAAGGACGTTAGGTCACGAGAGAGAAGTGCCCCTGTGACTCTGGGGCAGGGCAGTGCTGTGGCGGGGTGGGGTGGGCCGGGGCTGGCGGCTCAGGTGCATTCTCTGACACAGGAAATAGCCATAGGCAGGCCTGATCACAGCTGCGGGGAAGGATGCAACGGGTTAAAATCCGGGGAACAGGGGCGCCTGTGTGGCTCAGTCGGTTAAGCTACCGGCTCTTGGTTTCAGCTCGGGTGGTGATCTCAGGGTCCTGAGAACGAGCCCTGTGTTGGGCTCCTCACTGAGCGCGGAGTCTGCTTGAGATTCTCTCCCTCACCCTCTCCCTCTGCCCCTCCCTCCCTAAAATAAATAAATAAATCTTAAAAAAAATATGTGTGGAATAATGTGTAGACCCCAAAGCTTTCTGCAAAGGTAAGAGGAGCCTGGGCCATCCTTGGCCATACCTGCATTCTGGGGGAGACAGAGGATAGGTACCATTCCTTCTGGAGGCCAATTAAGCAGGATATGATCATGTCTTAACCTTCTGTCTGGATAAGATATTTCCAAGACAAGCAGGTTTCGGGGGACCCACATCTCCAATTGTCACACTTTGAAGCTCCAAAAAGCTGTGTGTGTGTGTGTGTGTGTGTGTGTGTGTATCCCTCTACCTTTGTTCACATCAAAGTAACCCACAGGTGTCAAACATGCATTATATGCTATAGGCTCATTTTCAGAACCAGCAATTCTCCAGACCACATCACCCCAAACTACCCACCCTCACCCGGTGCCCAGGGGCCACCATTCTCAATTATTTTAGCTGTTCCTTCATGTCGTGACATCTCTGTCTGAATCATGCAGCTGATTTTTTTATTTATCAATTCTAGACATTAAACTACTGCCTTTCCTTTTTGGTACATGAGTATTTGACACTTATGTTTGCCACACAGGTACACGCCCAGACTTTTCCTCTCCTCATCCTTACCATGCCAACATCAAAATTTGTGGTGAAATCAATAATCGGTGTAAATACAGTTCACTGCAAAGCCAAAGTAGGGCGCTGTTTTCACCAATGATAAGAAGTACGTTTTGTAACTTCCTAACATAATGTGGGTATGAAATGTGGGTATGTCTCAAGACTTGCAAGTTGCCTTTTTAATAGGCAACGGTTTTTTCTTTCTTCTTAAAATAATGATTAATAAATCAATACTTAACTAATATGGCATTTTATATTCAGTAAAATATGATAGTATGATGGCTTTTTCTTTCCTGGGTTCATAATTGTTTTATCCTGAAGTTGCATATTGAATTTTCCCAACTTCTCTAAGATCTGTCGTAAATCTTTCTCTGTGTTTATTATTATAACAGGTAAACAGCAGTTATCTTTTTTCAGGGGTCGCCACTGTCCCCAGATGCCAGCCTTCCTTCTTCTCCCATCTCAGTTGGTTGTTACCCGGGTCTCCTGTCTGTCCATCCACCTGGGGACTCATTTCTCAGCCCTCCTCCAGTTGAAGCTCTTGTTTCTTTGTTCCATGTTCTTTTTTGGCCACTTCATCATTTTGCAACAACATAGCTAGCAGGACTTCTCAAGTATGGACGCACAGGGAGACACTCTGAGTCTTGTCTGAAAACATCTATATGCTGCCTTCAGATATAACTGCTAATTTGTCTGAGCATAGAATTCAATTAAAAATCACTTTCCTAAAGCAGAATTTGGAAGACTTTACTTCCCAGCATCCAATACTGACACTTGGATTCTCAATTTTCTGCATGAGACATTAATTTTTCTCTTTATCGCTGATGTTCTGAACATGGTTAAATGATGTGCCTTGGTGGGGATTTTCTTTCATTGATTGTGCTAGGCACACAAGGAGCTTTCTGCCTGAAGTCTCAGATCTTTCCAGTCTGATACACCTTGGCTTAGAATTTCTTGGGTAATTTCTTCTCCTCTCATTGTTTTTCTTCCTAAAACTCCTGTTTGTCAAGTTCTGGACTCCTTGACTTGATCCTCTAGGAGGCTTAGCATTTCTCTCTTATTTTCTCTCCCCTGCCTTTGCTGTTCTACTTCCTGATTGATTCACTGATTTTATTGTCTAAACCAAATGCTACATTTTTTATTACAGATTGCATTTGTAATTCCTAAAGCCCTCCTTCTTATTCTTTGGTTGTTCCTTTTTACTTCATTGCACCCTGTCCTGGTTTCAAGAGTGTAATGTTTCATCTCTGAGGACTTTAGAGCTTTCTCCCTGCCCCCCCCCAAATTCTGATTTAGGTCTATTTCCTCTGTTTTTTGCTTTATTTTTCCCTTTAAAGTATGTTTTATGTGTTGCCTGTCATTGGTGTTGGAGGCTTTTCTCAGATGTCTGATGTTTCCTGGCTGTCCATATTCAAGACAGGAAATAACTATCCGAATGGGAGACTCAGAGTGTGTAGACAGGACTTCCCTGGGAAGTGGGCTTCACTCTAGGATGACTGGATGAGGAATCAGCCATTTCACTGAGGAAAATACTCAATACTCCAGTGTAAGTATCTAGAGGTCCTTTGACTGAGATTATTCCATGTCTTCTCCTCTATCCTACTAGGTGGTGTCTGAGCACCAGCATACCGAAGTCTGTGGGGGAGGCAGTCTGCAGGCAGGACCCCCCTGAGACCTTAGCTAACAGAACCCCTAGCTTGCGTCCCACATTTCATAGGAACACCATGCCTTGAAATGCCTTCTTTGCAAACATCCCCCTCAGGTGTCCCCCAGGAAAGGCCAAAAAGAGTCCTCCCAGGATTGGCAGGGGCAGCAGTGGTATCCAGGTAAGGTACCCTAAGTCTAGACCAGGTCCCGCATGAGCCCTAGTCCCTTGTTTCTCCCCCTCAGGGTGTTCTTTGACCCTCTCCTTCATGAAAGGGGTTAACCATATGGCCCCAGGAGCTCCAAGATGTATATTTATGGAATCATCCTGAAGTCCAGTGGCCAGGCCACGTTTCCAGGGGGGTGGCCTAGCAAGCCTACAAACCCTGCCAGTAGGCACCGTATTTTTATCGCAGCATTGCATGAGATTGGGTCACCAGAAAAGACCTAACAGGCTGATTTCATGTGGCTCAAATTGATAATTTATGAGAAACAAAGACACCATGCAAAAATACTTGCTGGCCCTGTGCATCCCAGAGGCAACCCAGGCTGCAGGTTCCATGGCTCAGGTTACTCACTGCTTAAAGTAAGACCCTTCCTTAATCCTCCTGTTTCCCACCTGCCCCTCGCCTGCTCTCGACACTCAGCCTGACACACTGAGCTCTGAGCCTCTGCCCACTCCCCATCTCCTTCGGCTCAGAGGGAGGGATGTAGTAGCCTGGGTGAAAATGTGGACATGAGGGTCCAGCCATTCCGCAGAGAAACTGGTCGCCAACCTGAGCTCCCTGCTTCACAGTCCCTGGTGTCTCCAGGTCCCAAGCCCATGGGGACCCAGACTGAGCCAGCTCACCCACCCACCCCCTTCCTGCAGGCGCCCCACTGAACCTCACCACTCTGTCTTCCAGCCTTCAAACCTCAGCAAACATCTTCTTATCTGTTCCCTCTTCTCATTTTCTCTCTCCTGGTGCTTTGGAAATTTTTCAGTCCTTTGCTACTATTTAAATGGATCAACAAGAGTTGGGGTGGAGAGGAGGTAACTGAGTTTTTAATCTCTCATTTGGGATGCCTGGGTGGCTCAGCCAGTTAAGTGGCTGCCTTCAGCTCAGGTCATGATTCCAGGGTCCTGGGATCGAGTCCCGCATCAGGCTCCTTGCTACTTGGGGAGCCTGCTCCTCCTTCTGCCTGCCGCACCCCCCGCTTGTGCTTGCTCTCTGTCTCTCTCTCCCTCTCTCTCTCTGACAAATAAATAAAATCTTTAAAAAAAAAAAATAATAATCTCTCATTTAATAAAAAAAGACAAAGTTTTTTGTTTCTTCTGAAACAGTGTAAGATTAAGGATTTTTTACTAATTCAAAAATCAATTTTTTAGCCGGAAAAAATAGGCAAAATTCCCACTTCCTAAGGAGTCACTCTCAAGAGTTGGGCATGAGGACAAAAGAAGCTGAGTGGCTTCACGCGGTCACTCACCAAATACTTACAGAGCACCCAGAGGCTCAGGCCTGCATCGGGCTCTGGGGACACAGCTGTGGCCAAGACACATGCAGGCCCCACCTCTGCGCTTGCCTTTCCAGGGGGCGAAACACACCAGACAAAAATCAGGAAATATCAGGAGATAATAACCAGTGTGCAGAGAATTAAAACAGGAGAAAGGACAGAGAGAATTTAGGAGGCTACTTTAGGCTGGGTGACCAGAAGTCCTCTCAGAAGGGTCGATGTGATCTGACAACTGAACAGTAAGGAAGAACGCCAATAAGTAAGTTTCGGGGAGAAGAAATTTCCAGGCAGAGAAAACCACGAGCACAACGGACCCAGCATTGCAAATGGGCTTGGCATGTTTGAGTATAGAATCATCCACTGTGGTTGGAAGAAGAAAAGTCAAAATTCTATATTTGATGAGTTCGAGATGCCATCTGACATCCCAGAGGCCTGCCATTAGTAGTGGGACGCGGGAGCCTGAGGCTGAAGGGCAAGTTCAGCTGAAGGTATTGGTTCAGAAGTCATCTGCATAGGGATGATGTTTCTCAGCCACAGGACCTAATGCTATCACTGAGAGAAAGAAAGCAGATCCAGAGGAAACAACCAGAAATAAGGTATGGAGATGAAAGTACAGCATAGGGAATATAGTCAATAAAACCATAATAACCTTGTAGGGTGACAGATGATGGGTGACTCCACTTACCGTGGTGAGCATTGCGTAATGCAGAGAACTGTCGAATCACTATGTTGCACACCTGAAACTCATATAACGCCGTATGTCAATTATGCTTCAACAATAACAATAAAAGAGAGAGAGAGAGAGACAACCAGAGTGTCTTGAGCCACTCCACCATTTAAAAGTTGAGAGAAAGAGCAGGAACCAGGAAAGGAGGCTGAGAAGGAAATCC